CCAGCAGCTGCTTGTGTGTGTAAAGACAGTGGTGGATGGGCAGGGGTTCGAGGTACTCCAGCAGCTGCTTGTGTGTGGAAAGACAGTGGTGGATGGGCAGGGGTTCGAGGTACACCAGCAGCTGTGAGTACACAACCTGGGGTGTGAGAGTGAGGCACCTGAGAGGTTGTGTGTGTGTTTGATGAGGGACAGTGTGAATCTCAGCATGGAGAGGGGTGCAGAACAGACTCGGAAGGTAGTTCGTGTGTGAGACCCAGTCTGGTGGTGTCAGATGAGGGCGCTAGCGGCTGGAGGCGGACCTGGAAGTCCCAGGGCTGACTGGTGGTGAGTGGAGTGGGAGAAGGAGGCTCTGTGTTGTGGGTGGGTGGGAGCTGGGAGCTTGTCATGAAGATGAAGCTCGTCAAGCCCGGATACTCGCGAGCGAAGGGCTTGGCGACGTGAGGGACTCCAAGCAGTGGCACAGACTCTGGGTCTGGGAATCAGCACCGCTGTTGGAGGTCAGGGCGTGTACACAGGGCCGGCGCTAGCTTGATGGAGGCCCTAGGCAAGACCTTGGAAAGGGGCCCCTCCAGATCATGATTGGCACATACACTACTCTTATCAGCTCTCAACACAACCTTATTTTACTACTTAGAACAATTACATTAATTATATAACTAGAAAACTTGTATTAACCAGCTCTGAAGAACACATAAGAAATAAAAGGCACACATTTTGAGATGATGTATTTTAACACTGAAAGTAATAAAAAGCATAAATAGCAATAAACAATTCTGTTTTGAGATCTCTTATCCCGCTCTTCTTTTCTGCGCTTCAGAATCATTACATACTCAACCGTGGTTTGTCATTTTATTGCCCGGTCTTCCAATAGGATCATCCACAGCAGCAACAGAAAGAGACGCAGTAGGGAAATTTTCTCTCACATTTGAACGTGACGATTAACAATAGGTTCTGTTGCCCATTGAGGAGCAGCCGCCCAGTTTGTCTATGCCAGGGGCTGTGTGTACAGGTGCGGAAAAGGTTCCCCAGCTGGCAAAAAGGGGCACGTCTGGAGAATTGGGCACGCCTGTCTGTGCCCAAGTAGCGACCACTACCCTCGGGGCATCACAGTCTCTTACTCAAGAGACTGTCTACAGTTCACAGCGGTGACAACATGTTTTTTACTTATGTCAGCAGGAAGAAAAATATCTACAAATAATAAAGTCAGTGTAAATGCTCCCTAACTTTAGCACACTGTGTGATACTGCACTGCGGGAGTCACCTTGAGGCGCACAGCGTGCCCGTCCTGCAGGTCCTCAATGAAGCGCTCACAGAAGGCGGAGGGGAAGCTGGTGATGCTCCGCGGGCTCCACACTTCTCCTCGGCTCAGGCGGACCTCGTACGGACTCAGGGCCTCCCTCTGCCCCAGCTCCATCAGCTGGGAAAGAACTGCAGAGATACACCGGCTGCATCATTCGAGTATTTAAGGGGAAATACTTCTAACACAGGGTGTTTCGCTCCCAGCAAGGCCACAGCTTAACTGCCATGTTTAACCTTGTTTTTGGAAAAGAGGAATCATTTGCTTTCATAAAACCCTGAACAGAAATTCTCATAAGACTTAATGATATTTGCATTGCCTTTTACAATTTACATTATTTTATCAGGAAATAATATTACTGCAGTAGTAAATGTTTTTTTTAATATACTCTCCCACTGTTTTGTCTTCCATAACAGGAGAGATTTAATATTAGTATTTCCCTTACCAGATAACAACTCCCAGCCATAACCAGAACAATAATAGTAAGCTTTATTTAATATAGCACCTTTAATGGTGCCTTCTCAAAGCGCTTAATAGAATAAAACATGCTTTTTGTTAACAAAGTCATTGAAGCATGCTAATTGAATTCTGTTTTTTAAATTACCAGGTGCTGTAAAAAAGTACAAGTAAAAATGAGCCTTGAAGCAATGAGAATGAGCCTTTTAGGAATTTAGACAGACGTCTGTTGCTCACAGGCTGGCTGCTGCTTACCGAGTCTGGAGTATGCCTGCAGTACCTCAGTAAGGCCACCAGGAGGTGAAGTGATGTAGCAGAACTCAGTCACCTCCAGGCTGCTGAGGAAGGGACAGAGCGTGCCAAGCCAGGTCACAGGGGACAGCACAGCCAGACTTGTCCTCACCTGACCAGACCACAGGGAAGTCAGAAACTGGGGCAGGCAGGGTCTAGGTGCTCTGGCTAAGGGCTATACCAGCCAGCTCAAGAGATCCTGGCTTTCACTTAAACAGTGATCTTAATTATTATCACTTAATTGAGGTTTTTTTTTTCATTTCCTGGTCTTATTCAGCTGAAAAGGTACCCTTATAAATATGCAGATATCTAAACTTTGAGGAGTGCCAAACTGCAGCAGTAAGATTGAACAAAAGTGTTATTATGGATAGAGCACATTTTTAATTTTCAACTTACCACAGCATACTTTTTTTATTATTTTGTATTCATTAAAATAATTAGAAACAATAATATTGCTTCTGTCTGCAAAAACAGTGATAACAGTGGGCCTCCTCTACCTCGAAACTCCCAGAAGCTCTTGCTTGGCAGACCAGTGTGAGGGCCTGACCCAGGACAGTTTGCAGCTGGGAGAGGTGGGCGGCTCTCAGGGCACTCTCCAAGCCATGTCCCTCTCCACCGGGGCCGCAGTACAGGTGCTGCCCCCTGTCTGTAAGTCTAGAGGAGCCCGGCTGCACCTGCTTGAGGATCTGGGCATCAGACCTGTCCCACAGCGCCACCCTGTGGGAAACGTGCACATACAAAATAACTAAAATAAAAATCATAAAGGTGTGATTTGCTAGTTTTTATGCTTGCCAGAAAAAATGAGTCATAATTATGTACTTTAGCTTTGTTCAAATCAATAATTCATGATTAACAAATGCCAGAAGATAATAAGTTTGTGTCCCGTGTCCTTTGCTTTAAGTCACTGACTTCTGAAGATGTGAAAAATGTGTAAACAAACTGATTTATTAAGCAAGTAATTGTTCAAGTAAAGGAAATCTGAAGATTTCTGATTCCAGATGTTCTCTAAATTACATACTTTGACAAATCGACTTAACAGCTCACAATCAAATCCAAGTCTTGGATTCCAAGTCTTTAGAAATTGGTGGTTACCTATAATACCACACTGGACTAAAAAAATCTCCTAGCACATGGCCAGGAGTGAAGACTCCTGCTCTGAAGTCCAATGTGTATGAAAGGATAGGACTACATTCACTGGAGGAATAAGTACAGGATGAGTTACCAAATATTCTGCAACAAATGGAGAACAGGATCTGTTCTGCTGTCACTTAGCAGTGTCCATGCTACAGAACATGCTTCAGAATCCCTCTAAGGTAGATGAAACATTCTGGAAAGTATTAATTGCTTCATACAAGCATAACAACCCCATTCCAGATCTGATCATGCAGCATTCTTAGTAGAAGGACTCTGCAAGTATCGAAGCACTGACAAGGACCTGCTTGTACAGAGCAGTGCAGCTTCAGACGAAGACTGTGCAGAATGAAGTTCAGAAGCAGAATGCACTCCGCCATCCCTCACCTCAGAGCCATCCTGCTGAACTCGTCCACTAAAACGGGGTAGGGGTTGGGCTGCAGGGGGGAGGCCGACAGCACCGTCCACAGGCACCTCTGCCAGCAACGATCCACTCCACAGTCGACCAGGTACTGCAGCAAACACAGTTCAGCGTGTTGGGCTGGGGCAAAGACCTCCAGCAGCCCTTCACCACAAACACACTTCAGGAGTCCATCAGGACCACGTAAAGCAAAGCAATTAAGCATAAACCATTACATAAAGTATTTTGACCACTAAATCATTTTCCCATTTTTGCATTTGATCATACTGTACTGTCAGTACACTTTCAAGATTTATATCTTGGCCTACTACTGTATGTGCATCATAGCCCAGAAAAGTAAAAACATATGTCAATACACAAATAAAGTAACATGAATTCAACTATTTGCTATTTGAATACATCCGTAATGGGATCTTAGTTTATATCCTGCTTACTGCCTAAACCTTGACACCTGGTTTAAATAGTGTATTTAGATGGTGCTCACCTGAAAATGTCTATATCAGATGGAAAAGCTTCACCCACCAGCTGCAGTACAGAACACACCTGTGACAGACTGGCCTGCAGCTCTAAACCTCCGAGAGGTCCTCTTGCACCCTGGGAGAGGTCAACACAGCTTTCCATGTTGTATAGCAGATCCCTCGAGAATGCCAATGACATCTCAGGAGTCTCTTTGGGGTCCTGCCATGGGACAAAGCTGTGATAAGTGTGTGCAATACAGAATACTGTTCTGCACACCTGGTGACTCATCATAATATTGCACTGCTCTTGTATGTCTGCACTTGCTACTGTCCCATGTTGCTGGTCCTGTGACCTGTTTATATAAACGTTTATACTTCAGAGATAAAGGAATCAGTCAGGCAAATAACCAACAGGAATCTTAAGAAGTTGCAGTCGCAGGTGGGTGTCCCTCAACGTTACCTCTGGCTCCCTGTCTCCTGGCTGCTGTCCCGCGGCTCGGTCTGCCTTCTGTTTCATGTCAGCGAGGACAGGTAGGCAGGACAGAGAGTCTGATAGCAGCTGGCACTCCAGCACCAAGCTGCACGAGCACCACTGTGGGGAGAAAGAGTCGTGGTATGCATCAGGGATCACCAAGAGCTTCATCCTTCTTTGGCATCTCACATTGCAGAGACAGCAGAACCTGTCTGTCACAGGATTTTGTTTCATATTATTATTGAGAATAGTACAATATGCTTTATTTACATATTCAGTGTCATAGTCGGCTGTATCCAGCAGTGAGTGAGTTCGTTCACAGCACTCTCTAATGTACACTGTAAATTCAGGTGAGTTCGCAATATTTTATTTTATACAGTATACCGATTATCAAACGAAAATTGCCTTGGATCGTTATGTCAGCCAAATTAACTAAGAAATACTTTCTAAAGGTATAACCGACACTATACAGAGCCAAAACCAGCAATTTTTACAAATTTGACTTGAACTTGTACAAATGTTACATAAGGAACAAATAAAGGTTTACTTTATGCTGAAAAAAGACGAAAAGAAACATGGGTGAAGAAGAAGGCTACACACCCGAAGATGGCTCCACAGCCGAAACGTTGTGTTTCTTTTCTTCTCTTTTCAGCATGAAATAAATCTCCACTTGTTCCTTTGCAGTCTACGCATGCTGACGCAGCTCCCTACTTAAACTACAAATGTTACATAGTCTTTCTGTCTGTGTTTTTGGAAAAACCAATCTCTGAAAAGTTTTGGGAGAGTCAGTCACATCTTTTGAAATGAAATGTGACGGGAGACAATGAGAGTGACTATATCATCCTCACCTCTCTCAGTTCATCAAGCCCTGCCTGACTGGGGCCCAGCTCCAGTCGGAGACACACAGATTCCAGCCTGCCGCTCAGGATCCTGGCATGAAGGAGGGAATCGCTGGAGAAACCCTCCTGGACGGCCCGGCTCAGAAATTCCAACATCAGCCCTCTCACCCTCCGCGCAAGAGCACCACACAGCTCTGCATCAGCCGCCTGCCACAAGAGCAGCACACACATTATCACATCCAGTCACGAGGACATCCTGTCCGCAGCCCACCTCATTCACTAGCAAAGCAGGAAAGAATGTAGTGCTACAAAGCTTTTCTTGCTACTGGCAGCAAGCCTCTTCTAAGGACTAGTTAAAAGCTTGATCAAGAGCGTAGGTGTTATCTTTGATTCTAGCCACCTGATATTTCTATTTCTCGATGCTGTTCTGCTCTGCTCACTTGAGGGGCACAACACATTTCTTTCTAAATATTACATTAAACCTGTTATATGAACAAGAGCTTGCTAATTACGTCCTCAGATAAATCACTAAGAAGAGGATAACTGCTTGAAATTAAAGATTGGACTGTGCTTTATCTTTGGATTCTCAGTGGTTGCCTCAGTCGGTGTGCTACCTCACCTCCCAGGGCTGTGACTCCAGGACTCCACAGAGGGTGCGAGCGTGATGCCGTACAGCCCAAAGATGAGCAGCACAGCCATGCAGGAACTGATACATCTGTCCCAAGGTCTGATGGGAATACCATGCTGTGAAATCACACTGTAGTGCTGCCACGCACCACAAAGCAGCTTCTGCAGATTTCCCATTAACAGCAGTGTACAACAACAGAAAGCACTTTAATGCCTATTTTATATTTAAAACAGTGACTGGTAGCAAAAAAAAAACACCTTCATTATTCAACACAAATATTTACCTCTTAATTTGGCAACTGACTTAAATATAGTGCAATGCTCTGTGCAAAACCAGACAACCTGAGGAAAAGAGGGAAGCCTTTCTTTTTTTAATATAAGTTTAGAAATCAGATTTAAAATAGTTCTGTACCCGAATGAAGAACATGATGGGAGCAGACAGGCTCCTTCAAGATCCAATCAAGCAATTTTTCAGTAGAAAAGCTACAAGCACTGCATTAACATAGAGTGACGTGAAGTTCAGTGCTGACCAGAGGTGATATGGATATGAGGTCACCGTGAGTTGCAGTGGTCTGTGTTCTACAGCCACTTAGCTGAGAGAGCCCTGGCCACCTATTCCTAACCCTACCCCCCCAGTGACGCTGACCCAGCTGAGCACTGCCAGCAGAGGAATTCCCATGATGGCAAGACCCAGGATTGAACTTGTGACGTCCAGATCACAGAGCCCAACCTCTGCTTGGCAGTAGTGCCTTCATCACCCGAGCCCCTGGGGGTGTAGAGGAGTTAGTGCTTAAGGAGTTTCATGCCGCCTATTCACAGCTGATCTCAAACAGATGTTAAATCATCTGAAAGCACAGACCCCAATCCATGCAACACAAGACTGAATGCTGAACAGACTTGCCAGCTAAAAAAACACAGCTTCAAGAAGGAGTATTTACAGGCATTAAACAAGATTTTTGAAAGTTTTTTTAAGAGCTAACACTTCAATACAAATAAAAATTAAAAAGAAATCCACATGCTTTTGAAACGGGGAAAAATCATGCATTCTGTAATCGAGAGAGCAGTCTCCCTCTCTCACCTCCAAAGGGGCGTCCTGTGCCTGGCCTCTCGCTGGCCCAGGCTCAGCCGTCTCCGGCAGCAGGAGAAGCAGCACGCAGAGGTGGGCCGCAGGCAGGGCATCCTGCGGCAGACGCAGGGCAGCAAGCCTCCTGATCAGACAGTCCCGCACTGGAGCGAACACACCCTGGGTACCTGCACTGCCCCCTGGAGAAGCAGATCAGACATGATTTAAGAAGAGCTGCTTCCTCTTTTAGAGTCTTTGGCAACAATGCTGCATGAACGGTATCCTAGTTCCAGTTTCACTACACAAGTTCTCCATTTGTCCTACCTGAGACCCCATCAGCAGCACTGAGTTCCAACACCCCAATGTTAACAGCTGCATGTTTGATGCAGAAGAGCTGTGTTAAATCAAGATGATTTTTTTTTTTTAGTTAGGCTAAAGGCTTTACCATGCTTACAGTGTAATTAAACTCAGATAATACCATGATTGTGCATTACCACACAAATATTTTTTATGGAAGTGGCATATCAGAGTCATAAACCTTATGGTAAATTGTGGTACTATCATAACTCTTGAGGAGGAAAGTAGAATGGAAAAGAAAGCACTGTACAAGGAAGACAGTGGAAAATGTAATGGAGAACTGCAGTTAAATTGTAAAAGGCCCAGCTGGCGTCTCACCTGTGAGTGGGCCTGGGGGGTGTGGTCCTCTGGGCAGGAACACGCGAGTGTAGGCCTCAGCGTGGGCTTGATGTGGAAACAGGCTGGAGGAGAGGTGCACCAGGGGGCAGTCGGAGAAGTCCAGCACCCTGCTCCATGTGGCCAGCAAAAATAAAAACGCGTCACAGCACAGCAAACAAAACTTTGCCTTTGTTTTCTTTCTGAAGGGTCTGCGAGTCCCACAGCTGTAGTTCAAACTGACACAGATGGCTCAGAGACAGCTGCTCTGTTGTGGATGACCACAGGATTTGTAATAACCAGACATGGCGTGATAAGAAAGGTTGATTATAACCGTGGGCAGGATTTTGCCAAGGTAAGAACACATGAATATTGAATTAACAAGCACTTTTTAAACTAAAATAAGCGTATTTCATGAGTAGGTCCCAACAGAACAAAGCTCACAGAGACAGGAGTACCAGTGCCCTCAGTGCACAGAGGAGATGGTTGTCTCACAGTGACATGATCTACAGGGTTGCATCTCAGTTAGAACTAGAAGAAATAGTTAATATTGGGATACTGATGGAATCGAGTGTGTTGCCTTTCACTCATGCACAGCATCTTGTCTGTAAATGACTACGGTCTGGTACTCAATGTGGATAGCCAGACAGCACAGAGATTTAAAACACCTGTACTCGTCATTTGCAGAATTCATAAATCTTGGTAAATACCAAGATTCAATGTTTCGGTGTTGGCAGTCAAGGCAGTGGCATAACTGTATCCCTAAAATCGATCAGCTAGCACTCTGATGAGCCCGAGTACTGGGCTCTGTAATCACATACAGAAAATGTGTAAGCATGGTATGAAAATTAATTTGAATGATTGAATAGCACAAGTGAGGCTTAAATTTTCTGTCTCAGTGCCTCTCCACCCTCCTTGGCAATGCGACCTTGCCCTCTCACCTCTCCTCCCCGAAGCTGTCAGCAGTCTGGATGGCAATCAGGGTGTAGGCCTTAGTGCCCCCCTGGCGAGAACTGCCCACCGGGTCCTCTCTCCACACACACTCCACCTTCACTGGGAGGCGGGTGTCCAGTGACCTCTCCACGAAAGCCTCAAACTCTGATCCTTGGGAAGCAACCTCCTCCTGAGGAACACAAGGGGGCGCTGTGAGAGAAGAGCGCTTGCTTACTAGCTACAGTATGATAAAATAGGGTGTTGGAGCTTTACTTATTCAAGCAGAGCACAACCTTTTTCTGCCCATACGAGTGCATAACATACAGCTATAAGAAAAACAGGTGTGTATGGGAATATAAATTACATTTTCAGTAAGCGTGCAAAAGCCAAAAATGTCAAATTTTCTAGCTTCTCTACCAAATAACCTAATATCATTTTCTGTAATGCAGACGTCATGATATTCTAATACACAGGGCAGCTTCACCCTGGTCCTAAAAACTGTCAGTTAAGCAGGTTATAACAGGCCATTCTGATATCAACAGGTTTCTCACACACATGCCAAACCATGCAACTTTACAATGTAACATGATTACTTCACCTACCTAAGCTTTGACTTCATAATTGTATTGCCCTGACGTTGAAAAGCACTTTGAGATGACCTTTTTCTTGGTGAGGTTCGTGGGAATATGGAATAATGTATCCAGGATCAATGAATTACTAACTTCCAATCAGGCTAGATGAACCAAATGGCCTCCTCTTGTAATTGTTATATTAAGCAAAAACTGATCAATCAGTTGATTTAGATCCAAAGATTCTAATTGTTTCAATGGACGAGAAAGATTTTGTAAATGAGAAAAATACCTTGGAGAACACTTTATATCCTCCTTTGATATCCGTTGGAACTATTATTCTGAAAGGAGAGTAAAAAACAACTTATCAAAGTGAAATGAGAATGTTAATTTCTGTATAAACAAGGGCTTTCTGTGATCACACTCATTGCTGATTCACAGTGATTATGATACATAAAGTGCTTTAATATGATACCGTAAAGTTCTGAAATA